AAATTGCTTTTGGTCATTTTGAATCCCTTGAATTCTCCTTTTTTTTTTTTTTTTTTTTTTGGTACTTGGAATTGAACTCAAGGACACGTTACCACTAAGCCACATCCCCAGCCCTATTTTGTATTTTATTTAGAGACAGGGTTTCACTGAATTGCTTAGAGCCTCGTTAACTTGCTGAGGCTGGGGCTTTAAACTTGTGATCCTCCTGCCTCAGCCTCCTAATTCGCCGGGATGATAGGCATGCCCATCACACCCGGCTTGAGTCCCTTGAATTTTCAGGTGAACTTTATAATTGGCTTCAAGTCCTTCAGTTGATTTTGATAGGGATTGTGTCAAGTTTGTAGATCAATTTGGGGAATATTACCATCTTAACAATATTAAACCTTCTAATCATGAACTAGGGTGTGTTTTCATTTATTTTGGTCTTTACTTTTTCCCCACAATGTTTCATAGTTTTAAGTGAACAAGTCTTGTTAATTCTTTCATTGGATTCATTCCTATTTTTTTCCTTTTGCTTTCCTATAAATGGAATTATTTTATTCTTAATTGTTCAGTGCTAGAATATAGAAGCATGCAACTGAGTTTTGGGTGTTGGTTTTATAGCCTGTGACCCATCGAACTTGTTTGACATAATCATTTCTGGGTGGTTTACTTAAGGTTTTCTGTATAAAGATCACATCATCTGGGAAGACAGAGGTGCCAATCTGGGAGCCTTTTATTTCTACTTCTTACCCAATGTCCCTGGTTAGAGCCTCCAGTTGTTGTATGGAAGTGCTGAGAGCCGACCCCTTGTCCTGTTTCTAATCCTAGGAAGAAAGCATCTAGTTTCCTGCCGTTAGGGAGGATGTTAGCTGGGAGTTTTTCGAAGATGACTTCTTGCCATCTTGTCATCTGCACTATTTTTTGACTATAGAGAGTAGAAGGAAGGTGAACCTCAGAATCAGACTTGATGGGTTCATTAATTCTACCAGGAATTGTTAGTGTATATTAAAGAAAGTCCCTTCTCCCAAACTGCTCCTAATAGAAGGAGGGAGACTGTCCTCCGGGTTAAACATTGCGTGTGATCAATGCTTGTTGGGGGTGTGACTAGGACAGTGACAGGTACAGAAACCAGGCTCCTGGGAAGATGAGAGCAACTTGGGATGTGATGTCTGAGTTGCTCTTAAGCAGCAGTGAGTCTTGGAAGAGAGTGGACGTGTGCGGAGAGGGCAAGACAGGTGCAGAGCGTGAGGACGTTGCTCAGGCTCATTCTTATTCTGCAGCACTCTCTATGGCTCCCGTGGCTCGTCATCGTGGACTGTACAGGAGCCAGACAGATGGAGCTGTTGACCCCATGCTCCAGCAGAGCTGAGTCGCAGCCCGATTCTTCCTTACAGCACCTGGCACTTAAGCTTATGTGCTTCTTGGGTCCTTTTAGCCCCATAAGTTGGCCAGGTGATTCATTTGGTAAGTCTCACCAGGTCTGCCCTGCCCTGCCCTGCCCTGTCCTGGAACAGCTTGTCCCCCAGGCTGCCTTGGGTGGCTGAGAAGGAGGTGGCTCTCAGTCCCAGTTCCTCATCAGTGACTTCCAGGAACTGAGAAGGAAGCAGGAAGAACAGAAAGTGAGAGAGTCTTAGGCTAAAAACACCCAAATCCTCCGTTCCTACAACACTTGTCTCTTGGCAGCCAGATGGGGAAGGAGAGGAACTGTGAAGGGTGCCAGGGTGCCAACAAGAGCATCTGTGTCCTTGGCAGAGCTCAGAATAGCATTCACAGCGCTCAGTGACTCATCTCCCGCAGGCCTGCCCACCGTGATCCCGCGGCTGAGGACTGCTGAGTCAGGGCTCCTGCAGCTTCCTCCCATGACTTAAGTTCCCTGCCTTCCCTGGGCTCTCCCGGCTCTCCCTGCGCAGCAGAGGGGAGGCCCATGATGCTACAGGCCTGTCAGGGAGGAGGGGCCTGTTCTGGGCCAGAGCTAAGCCTTCTGGGTTTTGTTTGTTTTGGGTACTGGGGATTGAACCCAGGGGTGGCTTACCACTGAGCTCCATCTCCAGTACTTTTTATTTTTCAGACAGGGTCTCCTAAGTTGTTTAGGGCCTCACTCAGATGTCAAGGTTGGCCTGGAACTTGAGATCCTCCTGCCTCCCGAGTCACTGGGATGACAGACCTGTGCCACCACACTTGGCTCTTCGTACCTTCTTTCTTTCTTTCTTTTTCGATATTTTTTCTAGTTGTTGATGGACCTTTATTTTTATTTATTTATATGTGGGTCTGAGAATTGAACCCAGTGACCCACACGGGCCAGGCAAGTGCTCTCCCACTGAGCTAGCCCCAGTCCCTGTGTCTTCTTTCTGGAAGGGCGTTCTCTCCACTCTGCATGATGCCCTGGGTCCACTTGGAGAGAGGGAAGCCTCACCATTTACATGGGGGGCCTGCCCAGCCCTTTTAGGCTAAGCAGTGCCCCTCTGCTGACCTCCCTAATCTGCAGTCAGTTCTTCTTTTTCCCATTCTTTTCTTTTTTCTCTTAGTTTGCTCTGTCAGAATTGTATTTATGAATGATATCACAGCTGTTGGATTTTTCTCCTTGGATAACTTCTCAGCCAGGTGCCTCCCTATCTCATGGGTGGACCTGGTCTGTCACTAGCCATGATTGGAGAGGGTACGCCATTGCTTCAGACTGAGTGTCTATGTGGATCTAGGCTCTGCATTCACTACGTTTGTCTCCCTTTCACCTGCAATCACTAGTTTAAAGGCAGGAGGATTGTCAAGTTTAAGGCCCATATGGGCAATTTAGTGAGTCCCTGTCTATAAACAAAGAAACAAATAAGCAGACTGGAGATGTAGTCCAGAGGTAGAGCACCTCTGGGTTCAATCCCCAGGACCATAAAAAAAAAAAAAAAAAAAAATCTCAGTGCCAAGTGCCAAAAGAAAATAACAGCTCTGCTTTGAGGAAGTAAGAAAATGGTTTCTTCTGAGCCAACATGAATGACCATCCCCCGAACACAAACTCCAGTTAACGGGAACTCCTGAAGGTCGTCCTTTCCCAAGGACATAGCTCTCCTGTGAGGAGATTACATAAGCCTCTTATAGTCCTCCAGAGTCCTGGAGGGGTGGTCAGGTAGGCGGCTACAAAGAGGTGGGGAAATCTTCTGCAACATTCAAATGTTGCCTTCAATAAAGCAGGGAAATTTCCTATAGGATTCAAGTGCTGTCTCATTCCCAGGCTTTAGATTTAATAGAGGCCAGAGGTCCATCAGCCTCATATACATTGTAAGATTTTATCCGAGAAAAGAAAATGCTAAGTCAGATGCAGAGGTCAAGGATAAATGGCTGCAATGGGGCCCAGAATAGCTTAATACAAGTTAGGCTTCTTAATTTACAATACTTCATCTCTCTACCAGGTCACAATGCTCCAATCAGTGGAGTTTAAACAATCCAGAAGCTCTTAAATACAAATGAGGCCTCTGGAGGAACTTCAGTTCACACATGTTGTGCTTAAAAATGGATCATTCATCATCTGGTCGACCTGAGACAGGTCACAGACCTGACGTCTCCTTCAGCTGGGCCCCCTCACTCTCTGATCAGTGCACAGCTCCCGCGGCGTGTCCTACTTTACTTTTGTAGCAAGTCATTTCTCCTCTTTTGCCAGTTTCACAAAGCTGACTTCCTTGGATCCACTCAAGTTAACATTGGGAAGTGTCCCTGTTCCTCCTTCACAGAGGGACCTCTCTGCCTTCCACCTCTGTGTGTGTCTTTCGGTACCAGCATCGTTCCTGGACACTTTGTATGCAGATTTGGGGACTTGTCTCCAATGACACAGCTCTGTCTGTCCATGGGGGAGCACTGTCCATCATTAGGGGAGGATGATCTCATACAGCTTCTGAAGGTCTCCTTTTCCTGGTCCTCCTTGCTGCAAGATGTGTGTGTTCCAAGGAGAAGGCAGCTTTAGTAACAAGACATCTGCATGCATTTGTTTCTAAAAAGAGCAACACAAAGAGGAAGACCTGGTACCATGTAGATACTACCCTGCCTGGGGAGAGAAACAGGAGGCTGGGTGCGAATAACTCTGCACTTTTGTACCAGACATCCAGATAATAGCTAATTCCAAACCCCCATAGATGGTCGACCCACTTACTTCAAACATGTTATACAACAACTTAAAGCACAGGGGAGGGCTACAGACAATTCACTGCAGAGGGATGACTTGGGGCACTGAAATGTGAAATGTTTTGAAATAGCACTTGTTTTTCTCATCAGAGCAATCCCATGAAATGGGTGGGACAAAGAGTTAGGCCCATTGTCCAATGAGGACACTGAGGCACAGCGAGGCTGCCATTCAGCATTTTTTTCAAAAGGGCACAGACTTGGCTAGCACAGTTGGGACTGGACCCCTGATCTGTGTCTGATTTCTATCACGCTCTCTTTCTTTAGTAAACCTCTTTCATTTGAGAAATGAAACCAATCCACCACCAACAGGACCTGTGCTCTGAGTTGCTTTGTTAAAGTAGACGTGGGTTTCATCAGATTATCCACACGCTGTTCCCTGGAACTGTAGATCTATCATCTGGTAACATCCTAAATCCTAGCAGCAGACCCCTCTCTGTGATAGCAAGGACTCAGCTCCTGTGGCCCTGCTCTCACCTCTCCAGCCCCCTCCTGCTGGCAGTCACCTGACTTGCTGCTGACCTGTGGGTTCCCCCATTTCTCTCTCTCTCTCTGTCTGTCTCTCTCTCTCTGTCCTCTGTAGTGCTGGGGTGGAGCCCGGGCTGGGCACATGCCAGGCAAGCCCTCTGCCACGGACTGCATCCCCAGCTCTTGTTTCCTTTCCTTACAGTCCGTCCATGCTCCCTAGAAGGGCCTCCCTCATTGGCTCTTCACTGGGTCTGAAGACACAGAGAGAAGGCCTAGGTCCCGCCCCGAGGACTGAAGAGTTAAGGTTGGAAAGAGCTCGATTGTTCATGAGCCTCTTCTCTGGCAGTTCCGGAATGGTCTTGTCCCTGGGTAGACTTCTAGGCAGCTCTCTTCAGGTCATGAGTCCAGCACTGTTGGTCTCAGTCCTCTTGGCTGCCCTGCAAAGGTTTGAACATCCCCGTTACTGACCGTCCGAAAATCCCACCCTCCAGTTGCAGGACACTTCTGTCACCCACAGGGGCAACTGGGCTCACTGGTCTTAATAGGCACAAGGGGCTGTCCCTCCTCCAAACTTTTCAGCCCAGAATTTCTCTGGCCACTCTTCACGCGGGCTGACAGGCTGTGGCCATGTCTCCCCTCTCCTCTCTTTGCTGGCCGGGGCACTTGGTCTGACTGACCCCAAACATAGAGAGTCTATCCCAACCCAAACACTGGGCTACACCTCTGACTGTGTGGGGCCTAAGGGGTGTCACTGTTCCCACCGGGGACCACCTCCCTTTGGCCTTGCTATCCCACCCCTCCTCTCATCGTGACCTGCAGATCCCAGAGCTCCCATTCTCCTGGTCACTCCCGGACTGTCTTCTCTCGTTTCTCTGCAGAGTCCAGAAAAACCTAGGCTGACCATGGCAGATGAGCCTTCCTTCAACAATGACCAACAATTTCCAAACCGGTAAGAGTACATTTTCATACTCTCTCCACAAAAACTAAGCACTTGAGGCGATGGGTTTGTTAATTAGCTTGGTGTAATCATTCCGTAATTATACATACATTAAAGCTTCACAGCATGCTGTATATAAATAGATATGTTATTATTTATCAATGAAAAAAAAAGCACATTTTTTGGGGAAAAAGACTTTGAACCCAGACAGACAAGAAAATAGACTACAAAGCTGTGCCTCCTGGGACTCCCTGGGCTCTATGTCGCGAAGGGCGAGCCTGCCTGGAAGGCCACCATCACCCTAAGCCGCCCCTGAGCACTAGGCTTCCCGGCTGGCTTTTCCTGCGCATGCGCGCTGCAGCCCTGGCATTCCATCAGTTCCCAGAGTCACGGTCTGCAGTGGACCTGCCATGTGGCACCATCAGAGTCACTCCGGGCCCCTCCACTCCCAGGGATGACTTGGTTCATTTTCTTAGCGGCGAGGAGGAGGCCCCTTCCTTGCTCTGCTCTGAAGCTCCGCTCTCCCACCCTCCGGGGGCGCTGCTGTGCGCTGGCCCGAGCCTGGGACCTGCGCTCCGTCCCCTCGCGCTTTCTCGCTCACCTCCGTCTCTGCTACTCCCCACTCATGCCCTCTGCCCCTCCAACCTCCCCTAACTTCAAGAACAGACAAAAACTACGAATCAAATAAAGTCCCCAACAAACGCCCCCTACCCCGGAACTCAACCTGCAGCCCACCCTCTTCATCTCAACCACGACGGCCCTTGGCCTGCGCTGACTTCCTTGTCCCCATCGCGGCCCTCGGCTTCTACGCATGACAGGACTCCTCTAGAGAGAGTCCCCTCCCTTCGCACCCACATGGGCCACTGCGCAGGGCCAACCTTCCTGGCTGCCCCCAGCTCCGCAGCAATCTCCTGGCAGGTCTCCCGCCTCTCCTCAAGCCGTTTTATGTCCCCATGCCTGGCTGATCATTCTCGGGGACAGTTTTGAGAACTCATTGTTCTGCTCAAATTTAATTTGGCAGTTATGGTCACCTTGTCCTGGTCCCCTCCTACCTGGTTAGCTACCTCCCTGCCTGGATTCTGTCCCAGGCCACCTGAGTCTGACTCCATGCCCAGGTGTACCCTCTGTCCTTCTTCCCACCGGCCGGGGCTCTTGCCATTTCTTCTCTGTCCTTCAAAGCGCAGTGCAATTTCCTTCTCCTTCAGGAACCTTCTAGTGATCTGCACAACTATGAGCGACCTTCTCCCTGCATCTCTCAAAGCACATTTTTGGAAACTCCAGAAATCACTTCGTTCTCTTAACTCCTGCCAGGTCTATTTCTAGCCTTTAATCTATTTGAGCATCAGGAATATATCTTTTAAATGTTCTCCACCTCCCCAGCCCTTCTCGATTGTGCAATCGTGCAATGATGGGCTCTGTGTTCTGCCCAGTCCTTGCCCTTGCAGATTAAGGAGCTCAGTGTAGACTAGGTTTTGGGTGTTAATCTCTCTGAGCTCAGGGTGCTGAGCTGCTAGCCCAGGGCAACCCCTAATATATTTGCTGAGCCACTCTAGAGTTGTTTTTTTTTTTCCTTTTTTGGTAGTTAAATATATAGAACATAAAATTTGCCATTTTAACCATTATGAAACATACAATTCAGTGGTATTACTTACATTAACATGTTGTGCAACCATCACCACTATTTCCAAGCTTCTTCATCCCCCAGACAGAAACTGTACCGTGAAGAATAACTCCTCACAATTCCAGCTCCCTGGCCCACCCGGTGATGACTTCTGATCTACTTTCTCTCTCTATTAACTTCACCATTCAACATATTTCATGTAAGTGTAATCATACAACATTTATACCATATTTCTCTTAATATGATGTGTTCAAAGTTCATCCACCTTGTAGCTGAATGGGTGGCGGACATTCCATTATATGAATATACCCACCTCTGTCTGTTAATGGACAATGTTAGTTATTTCACCTGTTCACCTTGTGAATCATGCTCCAGTGGCATACAACTATCTGTCTGAGTTCCTGCTTTCAGTTCTTTGGGGGAACACACCTAGGATTGGATTTGCTGTGTCATATGGTAATTCTATCTTTAGCTGTTTCAGAAACCCACTGTAGATCATTTAAAATTCAAATTAGTTAACTTTCCAAAATGAGGGATTGTACCAAAGCTTAGAATTTTTTTCAACTTTTGAGAAAGATTAGAAGTGTGGTACTTTTGGACCCATCTCTCTATAGGGGTGTCATCTGCTGGGGATGAGTGGGACTGTTCTTTCTAGATGGGGTGTCTGGTCTCTACCTCAAGAACCTGGCCTGGTAGGCATCAGACCTCGGTGCTTCCTGCCTGGTCCCAGTGCTCAGCCTTTGCCTAGGTCTCCCCTCTTCATGAGATCTTTGGGTCTCCTCCTACAGTTATTCCCCCCTGCCTCACTCTGTGCTGTAATCTTTCTTTTTAAAAAATGTTTATTTATTTTAGTTATAGATGGACACAATACCTTTTATTTTTATGTGGTGCTGAGGATTGAACCCAGTGCCTCATGCGTGCCAGGCGAGCGCTCTACCTCTGAGCCACAACCCCAGCCCCTGTGTTGGGATCTGCTATGTGCCACCCCTTTCTCCTCCTAGGCTGTGATCCCTGAAGCAGGTGTCTTTTCATCTCTACTTTACACAGGACTGGCAGACACATTATGCCCAACCTGTTTGTTGAATAGTTGAGGTTAAGGACAGAATTAATTGATAAAGTTCTGACTGATTAAGCCAACTAAGAGCTAGACCACATTGTAGACTATTACAAGAAAAGGAAGGAAAACTAAAATTGGGTAAATGAGTCAGAGATTACAGGCAATGAGGGAGTGGCTAACCATTTCCTCATTTGAAATCTTTCTTCATTGGGGTTTTCTTTCTTACCACTCATGTCTGTAGTTATCCAAAAGATGATTTATGGGAAACAGGTATAATATCATAGAACAAATTAATAAGAAAGTGACTTAAATGTAATGTCTATATGTACATACAAAAGAATGATTTTGGACCCCTAACTTATTACTCTGTGTGTGTGTGACTGAAAATGGATCATACACCTAATTATAAGAACTAACACTAAAAAATCCTAGGAAAAACATGGAACTAAGCCTTTGTAATGTTGAGTTAAGCAATGACTTCTTAGATGCACAGCAAAAATACAAACAACAGAAGAAAGAATAGGTAAATCAGATTTTATCAAGTTGAAAACTTCTGTGTTTCAAAGGACACTATCCAAAAAGTAAAGACAGCTCACAGATAGGAGGATATCTTTGCAAATCATACCAGATAAGGGACTTGTATCCAGAATATATAAAGAGCTCTTACAACTCAACAATTAAAAACCAGGGATGGGAACATTTTTCCTAAGGTGAATATAGTTAGTCATTAGGGAAATGAAAACCAGAATTGCAATGAGATATCATTTCACTTCCACTAGGATGGTCATAATAAAAAAGATGGAGAATAACAAGTGGTGGATTTATGGAGAATTTGGACTATGTTATCATTTGGATCTGGAATGTCCTCCAAAGGCTCATGTGTTGAAGTCTTAGTGCCCTTTCAAGCAATGTTCAGACATGGACCTTTTGGGAAGAGATTGGATTTTAAGGACTATAATCTCATCAATAGGTTAATCCACTGACGGAGTCATAGCGGAATAGACTATTGGGAGGCCGTGGAAATGGTAGGAGGTGGAACCTAGTTGAGGGGAGAGGGTCTAAAACTTAGGGTCATGACCTTGGGGACTGTATCTTGTCCCTGGCCCCTTCTGTTCTCTGCTTGCTGGCTGCCAGGAGGTGAGCAACTTTTCTCTATCAAAACTTTCATCCTGATGTTTGTGCCTTGGAGCCAGCCGACCACAGCCTGAAACCTCTTGAAACCATGAGCAAAATACCTTTTTTCCTCCAAGTTGGTTATTATTATTATTTTTTCCAGCACTTTTTCACAGTGAACTGGGTACAGTGGTAGGTACCTCCCAATGACTTGGGAGGCTGAGGCAGGAGAATTACAAGTTCAAGGCCAGCCTGAGTTAGTGAGTCTCACACAGTCAACTCCAATAAAATAAAAACAAAAAGGGCTGGGGATATTTGCTTGATGTTCAATCCTTGGTAACTAAAAAAAAAAAAAAAAAAAAAAAAAAATTGTCATAGTATTAAAGAGCTGGCTAAAACACACTACTCATACATTGCTGGTGAGATTATAAAGTGGTGTAGCTACTTTGGAAAATAGTTTAGTGGTTCCTTAAAATGTTAAATATAGTTTGTCTGTGTTCCAGAAAATCTGTTCTTAGTAATAATTGGAAAAAAAAAATGAAAATACATGTCTACACAAAACTTGTATGAGTGTTCATTGCAGTATTACTACTAATAATTAAAAGATGGAAACAATCAAATTCTATCGATTGATAACTGGATAAATAAAATGTGGTATATTCATGTAAGGGAATATTATTACCCATGAAAAGAATGAGTACGATAATATACACTGTAGCATAGGCATATCTTGTTAATATTATGTCCAGCAAAAAGAGCTAGTCACTAAAGACTGCATATTGTATGATCCCATTAATATGAAATGTGAAGACAGGAAAATGCACAGAGATAGAAGGTAGATTAATGATTGGGGCTGGAGGGAAGAGAATTTGGAAAGGGCTGCTGATGAGTAGAGGAGTTCTTCTTGGAATGATGAAAACATTTTAGAATTAGATCATGGTGATTACATAACTGTGAATATGTTAAAAACCACAAAATCTAAAAATTAAAATCAAAAAAATCCCAACACTGAACAATAAAAGAGAAATACTATTCTTTTACATGACTAATAAAATATACAACTCTCAAAGATGAAAAGAAAAATGCGTCTTAAGTAGTTTAAACTAAAGCTTTGTGGATGACCTGGCAAGTTGGGCTGAGTTTGCTTCAAAATCCTGCACACATCCCCCTTGCAAAATAAACACAGGTTGGAGACAGACAAAGCCAGAAGAGGAAAACGTTGATCATGGTTGAAGTCAACAGGTGGGCATGTGCCATTCATTGCCCCCCACCTCCGTATTTGTGTGCATTAAAATTTTTCCATAAAAAGAGTTTTGAGAGAGCATGCAAGCAAGCTACTGCATCTGCAGTTCACTCGTCACAGCAGCCGTCTGCATTTGCTTGGGGAGCTCAGGGGTGCTGGGGTTGTACACTGTCCCTCGGCACGTGGATCTTGAGGATCGGTGACTTGCCTGAAGGAGAAGCCAAAGCTCTTTGTGCAGGTATTACTTTGCTAGGGCTACATGATAAGGTACTAGAAACTGGGGGCCATCAAACAACAGAAATAGATTCTCACATGGTTCTGGAAGATAGATGCCTGAGATCGGGCTGGCCTCTCCCTGGAAGCTCTGGGGAGGATCCTTCCCGCTCCTCCCGGCTCCTGGCTTTGCCAAGGCCCTGGGCAATGCTTGGTTTGTAGGTGCCCCTCCTCTCTCATCTGCCACCACTGGTGCCCTCTCCTTCCTCTTGTTTTCCCTCTGTGTGTCTGTGTCTATTTTCTCTTTATAAGGTCCTCAGTCATATTGGATTAGAAGTTCCCTGAGTATGACTTTGTCTTAACTTGATTATATCTGCAAAGACCCTATATTTCCTAATAAGTTTGCATTTGTAGGTAGTGCTGGTTAGGATGTCAGTATGTCTTTTTGAGGGGACATAATTCGACCCACAAAAGGTCTCAGCAGAATAAACAGACCCAGAGACAGTTTCTTAGCACTGTTAATTGGAATAGCAGAACCTTCGGCTGTCTGGCAGGCAGGCTGTGGGGACACAGCACTTATAGCCACTGGAACACATCATTCACCGGCCACCTTTATCTTTCCCAAACAGAGACAGGCTTTTCTGAGTCCATTCCCAGATTGCAGCCTTGACTGATGAGTGACACTTCCAGACTCTTCCAGCCCAACAACTCTTGGCACCAGGGAGTTTGGAGGCATACTTCTAATGCGGATTCACTGAAGACTTGTTTCAGAAAAGGTGAGTTTCTTACTCTTTGATGCAGACTTCACCATACTCTTAGAATATATCTTTGGAGTGGGCTGCTGAAGTTATTTTAGACTCTACAGTTAAATTGACCCGGAAATAATTTCTTCTTTGAAATGTTCCCTGAAATGTTATTTACTCTGACTCCAATTTAAGATTACATTGTGCAATTCTTTGCTCTTCAATCTTACTCTGGCCTTTGACCAAAAGCAATAAAATCTGACTTCTTTATTAAATGGTACTCACCCCCCCACACACACACAATTATCCTAGTAAACCAGATGTCTGATAATTGCAATGTATTTTCAGATGATCACTTGAAGAATTTCATGAATATTCTACTAACTGCGTGGGGCATTTACCCTTGACTGATTTTTAGTGGATACAGGAGGAAGCAGAAGTCAGAGGCAAGGCTGTGAGCTCACTCACCTGTACCTGTTCCATACTTACCTCCAACCTGTGTTTAGCTCCAATCCAATGGAGTAATTTTCAGTCCATTTGCTTTCACCTCATTGCTCTCAGGAAGGTGGAAAAGATGTGAGCAGGCTTTGCAGAGGGCAGGGAGGAGGCTGGTGAGACCCAGGTGGAGGGAGTGGAGGATGGGGATTGGGACTGGCCAGACAGACCTTGGATGCTGGTCTGACCAGAGCTTGGAAAGATTTATGGGCACTAGATGAAATAGTGATCCTTGGTCACCACTTGTCCTTATGTAGAAGTGGAGGTTAAGAGAACAGCAAGCCAGGCACAGTGGTTCGTGCCTCTAATCTCAGAGGCTGGGGAGGCAGACACGGGAGAATTGCAGGTTCAAAGCCAGCATCAGCAAAAGTGAGGTGCTAAGCAACTCAGTGAGACCCTGTCTCTAAATAAAATAGAAAATAAGGCTGGGATGTGGCTCAGTGATCGAGTGCTCCCAAGTTCAATCCCTAGTACCAAGAAAAAAAAAAAAAAAAAAAAAGAACAGCAGAGTCTAAACAAGGCCAAGGATAGTATTTGGAGAGGTTCTGTATATCACCTGGATTCCAATGGCTGGGTGCTGTTCTAGCCGCTTAGTATGCCTGCATCCCCGGCCCTGCTTTCCACCCCAGGTGGATTACGGGTTGATTCTTTTAGTGGGTTCTGCGGTGTTTCAGGAAGCATCCTATGGAGCAGCCTCACAGTGTGCGCTCTCCCTCCTCCCATGTCGTATTGAACCTGCCGTGTTCAGTTTGCAGGACTGTTTACCAAGAGTTGTGGGGAGAGGACCCTTTTTCTTGAAAGCACAGAAAAAGGAAAGCAGAAGACCAGTGATGATCCACAGGTGATCTTGAATGCAACAGAATTAATTGTACAACTAGAAAAGATGGTCCTTGGAGCATTTATAAATGGGTTAAAAGGGACATCCAGCCAGATCCTGCCTCACAGGTACTCTTAGTGGGATCTTTCCTGTGTCAAGATTGAACTGTGAGGGCCTGGGGATGTGGCTCAAGCGGTAGCGCGCATGAGCGTGCGGCCCGGGTTCGATCCTCAGCACCACATACCAACAAAGATGTTGTGTCCGCCGAGAACTAAAAAAGAAATATTAAAAAAAAAAAAAAATGTCTCTCTCCTTAAAAAAGAAAGAAAAAAAGAAATGTGTGCGTTCCCAGCATTTTCCGGAAAGATGCTGCCGCCTTCAGACCTGTGAGCACGCTACCACTTGAGCCACATCCCCAGTCCATGGAACGCACACATTTCAATAACTGTTACCATCTCATCCGGTGTTTGTTTCTAAGCCCTGGACTATTTTCTGTTTTCTCTTGGAATTTTTGGTCTCTCCGTGTTTCTTCTACAGAGTAGCTCATTATATGCTCACTGTGTGAAATGTGGGGCTTGTTTTGCAGCTTCCTTTTCTTGAAGGATAGAGAGGAGAAAAATTTTTACAAATTAACTAAGTATTTGAGGTCAGCTCCAGCAACTTAGGGGGACCTTGTCTCAAAATTCAAAAAGGCTGGGGATATACCTCAGTAGTAGTAATGTTACCACTGTTGACAGGTGACGAGTCCTTGCTTCCCCAATGTTGAAGAATAACACCAAAGAAGCACGCTGAGGCAAGGGCAGAGTAGAAATTAGAAGTTTATTAAAGGACAGCAGAAAAGGCTTCTCCCAGAGGAAGAAGGGGACCCAAGAGGTGGAATCCGTGGAAGTGCGGTTGTCTCCCCTTTTTATAGTTTTGGTGATGGAATGTAAGGGGGAAGGGTTGGGACACAGGTGGGCCAAACAAGTAATCTGGGCAGGAAGGACTTCATTATCACTTCTCTGGGATGGGCTATCTCCAAATTGTTGGGGGCTGTTTCCTGGGTTCCATTAACATTTCTTTGGGGTGGACTTTGGCCTAGGGCCTTTCCGGGACATCATTAACATTCCATGAGTTGTCCTGCATTTCCTGGAATCATTATCAGCATGGCCTCCATTTTAGATTTCACTTGGTATTAGACCCGATTTACCTAACTACACTGACTACCTAACTTTAAATCTGGCTTCAGTAAGGCCCTAGCTTCAGTCCCCAGTACCACCAAAAAAACAGTCAACCTAAAACACTTGAGCTTACAATCTATTGTTTAAGAGCAGTTTAAAATGGAATATAATCTGATGATTATTAATTGCCAGAATATATAGTACATTCTCTGACACCGCTGAAGCCAGATTTAAAGTTAGGTAGTTAGTGTAGTTAGGTAAATCGGGTCTAATACCGAGTGAAATCTAAAATGGAGGCCATGCTGGGAATGACTCAGGGAAAACACAGGACAACTCATGGAATGTTAATGAAGTTCCGAAAAGGGCCTAGGCCAAAGTCCACCTGGAAGTATTAATGAACAGCCCCCAACAGATTTGAAGACAGCCCATCCCAAAGAAATGTTAATGAGCCCATCACAAAGAAGTGATAATGAAGTCCTTCCTGCTCAGACTACTTCTTTGGCCCTCCTGTGTCCCACCCCTGGGGCCTTCCAACCTACATTCCATCACTGAAAGAACTATAAAAAGGGGAAACAACCGCACTTCCACGGATTCTACCTTTTGGGTCCCCTTCTTCCTCCGGGAGAAGTCTTTTCTTCTGTCCTTTAATAAATTTCTAATTTCTACTCTGGCCTTGCCTCGGCGTGCTTCTTTGGTGTTATTCTTCAACACCGGGGAGCAAGAACTCGTCACCGGTCAACAGCGGTAACACCGCTATTTCCTTTAACACATTGAGATGGTCAGCAAAGTTGTCCTTTCCTATTGAAACATCCATTAAAACTCAAACTTTAAAAAAAAAAAAAAGATTAACTAAGTATTCAGAGTAGACCTAAGCAAAGGGAAGCAGTGATGGAAACTTGCAGGGATCAGACATTCACTGGCTCCTTCTGTTGGGCCACACCTGGGTGAGGGCTTCTTGCTTAGTTGAGGTCATGCTCTGAGCCCAGCCGCTCAGATGGTCATATATGCCACTCCAGAGAGGAGTTTGGAAACCCACCCATCTTGGAGGCTCAAATGAACTTTTGCTTGTCCTCTGTGGGTATCCACCACAAGGAGGGTCTGAAGGGATCACAAATGACATGTAGTGAAAGGGTAAAGTTTCTAAGCTGCAAAGCCTGAGTTAAAAAGTAAAGGACTAGGTATTGTAAAGTTTCTGAACTGCACACAGAACCTGAAATTCCTGAGGCAGTTAAGACAATGCCCGGTACTGACCACTTAATTGTTTAATAACCTAGGACCCTGTGCAGTTTGGCATGTAGGCATTCAGGGCCCAAACCAATCAGTTTAAATGTATCCCCTCTTTAGGAATGACCAATCACCCCTGCCCGACCTGTTCCCGCTAATGAATGTGCTAATCATGTATGAGAGTTGTTGTTCAATTCCCCCCCCCCACCTCATGATGATTTGTTCTGATATATGCAAAGCCCCCGCCCTCCCCCAAAAGTGTACTTAAGCACTGCTTAACCTCTGCTCTGGGCTCTGAGCTGCTCTCCCTTCTTGAGTGAGCACGAAGCCCCAGCGTGCTGGATTCTCAATAAATCCCCTTTTGCTGATTGCATGAGCCAGTCTCTTGGTGGTCTCTTCCTCCGACATTCGCCGGACCCTTACAGTAGCAAGATGTTAACAGCCATGACTCTATTTTAATGTGATTAGAAAAAATAGAACAAGCACATAAAACCCAAAACACAAGTTTTTTTTGGTATTTATTTTATGTGAATATATATATATATAATTTCTTTTAGTTATACATAACATTAGGATTCATTTTGACAAAATTATAAAAGCATAGAACATAATTTGTTCTAATTCAGTCCCCAGACTTCCCCAAATATGGAACACTTCACGAATCTGCGTGTCATCCCCGCACAGGGACCATGCTAATCTTCTCTGTGTCGTTCCAGTTTTAGTAAATGTGCTGCCAAAGTGCACTCGCGAGACACAAGCTTCCTTTGTGAAAGTGGAGTCACGTGTTGCTTGATGGCAGGACAAGGTCTGAAAAGCGTGTCCTTAGGTGATTTTGTCATTGTACAAACAGAGCATTTTATACAAACTAAGATGCCTGGGACATCTCTAGGCAGGAGGAGCTCCTGGGACCACCATTCCTCTGTTTGGTCACTAATGTCCTTATGACTGTAATCAAAGTTAAGTGAGTCACGTGTGAAGGTGATCAAACAGGTAAATATAGGAGGCAGCCTGTGACCGTGGAGAAGACTGGAAGGGGGTTGCAGGTGCCTCAGGCTTGTCGTGCAGGTTTATAGGCAAAAGGCTCATGTTTATTAATCAATATTGCTGGACAGTCACAGACGTTCAGGCACTGGCTGCTGGTGAGGATGGGGTGCTGCTGCGGGAGTACTTCTCAAACTTCTCAGTGCCCCCAATTAGGAATTGCCGGGATTTTTCAAATATTAAAATGCAGACTCTGGTCTAGTGGGTCTGGAGTGGCGCTGAGAAGTTTGGATTTCTAACAAGCCCCAATTGCTGCTGGCCTGGAGACCACACTTAGAGTAGCAAGGTTTGATCCCAGAGCTCTGGTTTTTTTTCTATGTGTGTGTTGGTGCTGGGGATGGAACCCAGGGCCTTGTGCATGCAAGGCAAGTACTCTACCAACTGAACTGTGTCCCCAGCCCCAGAGCTCTATTTCTTAATAACTAAAACCAAAGAAGTTTCCATTTAGAAAGAGGATGAGTTCTGAAACCACCTCTTTCATCTGTGGTGGAGCCAGTGTGATAAAGAATGTTCTCCAGTCCCACATGCCTCGCTCTCTGGAGGAATATAACCTGGTTCCTTTATACTCTCCAAGCAGTTTGTAATGAAAACTTTTGGCTCAAGTTGTTGCTAGGGCACTGCCAGGGGAACCAGCCACACAGAGGGAATGTGTAACCTAATATTATTATGTGGGAATGAATGAGCACTGGCTTCAGAGAGGGAGGAAGGACCCTGCTCACTATTTTTTCTCAGGTGACAGGTGAGCACCCACATCCCATTCGACAAATATGAGGCATTTCACTATCCAGGGTCATTTCTCTAGATAGAGGATATTGGACTGTGGAAGGATCAGAGCATATTGGCATGTCTCCATCCACTTGGTTATGAGAACCAGACTTGCAAACAAGTTTGGAGGGTTACAATAGCGACAGCATTTAGGAAACAGGCTGGACAAATACAACAGGACTCACGTTGAGGTCACTGAAACTGAGGGACTTGATCCAGGGCCACACTATTTAGATGAAACGACCCTTATCCACAGAGTCAGAGTGAGAGGCTAGTACGAGGCACTACAGTTTCACCGTATTCTTTCTAATAGGACAGAGGAATGCATGAGGCAAATCATCTTTTCTTTTTAAAGTTCAGCTGGAGCCACATTCAGCCAAAAATGAAGGTCTCCAGTAACCATATGATGCAGAATATTAGTGCTGAAAATGTTCTTGGGATCTTTGAACATGATGGTGTTTAATTTGAGGGCATCGCGATACTCTGGACTCCTTTTCCCTCAAAAACAAACATACAATCTTCCATATAATTTCTGGGGATGTACGGGGTCCCTGGTGGATCTTGGATTCCAGGTTAAATTCTCTGATGCAGTTTATTTCCTTCTAGTTAGAAATCAAAAAAATGAGGCCCAGAAAGAAGGGAACTGACCACTGATCTCATAGCGGTGCTGGTGGTGAAGTACCCAGACGATCGCAGTGCCCAGCATCCACGTGAAACCCGGTGCCAGGTAAACATGCATAATTTATTTCTGGAAGCCTTGAGAGAAACAAGTGGCAAGGGCCTTTGGCGACAGTTAGAACCATTGGCTGGGAGAACCTCAATTTTAAACATTAAACCAAATAATGTTTAAAGAAAAGCAGAAATAATTGAGCCAGAAACTTCTTGGACTCAGACTTTATGATGTGTTCAAAAGACCTAAGTGGAGGTCTTGCTGCTCCTTGCTGGCTGCGTAAACTACAGTTTGGGGTATTTTTAGGGCAGGTAATAAATTCCTCTCAAAGGTTGGACTCACATGCCAATGTGAATCTTCCACAGCCCTGAAAACCACTGGGCAGGATGCCTCCCTGAAACACAACTCCCAGGTTGGCAATACTGTCATAGGTTCAGCCCCTAACAATCCTGGCACAGTCTAGGTGCTCATTAAATATTTATCTGAATAAGTGGGCTTTCTTTCGCATTAACTTTCTGGAGAAAGAAGACACAGGAAAGTGGAGAGAGATTAGACACACTGTGTTTAAGTACACAGAGGGAAGTTGGGGTTCCAAATGAGGGATTTAGAATGTCACAAACACAAAAGAATCCTTGCACCATGATTCCAACTCTATGAGGAAACCAGGACCCAATTAACTATGCTGTTAGAGGCTGGGATATCGGTTATCTCTGGTGCCAGAATGCTTATACAAGAAAGGGGGTTTTTAAGGTGTTGGGTCTCTATTCTGTTCTCAATCTGGGGGCTGGATATCCCTGTGGATTCCCTTGGTATAATTCACCAGATGATACCCTTTTGACAACATTTTTCTGTGTCTGTGTTGGACTTCAGTAAAACTAACACACACAGTGAAGCATGAAGGCCTGTGTTCCCCAACCTTGAGTGTGCACTCGAGTCATCTAGGAATCTTATTAAAATGCAAACTTCTGCCAGTGAGGTGTTGCAGGCCTAGCTACTCCTGAGGCTAAAGCAGGAGTATCGCAAGTCTAAGGATAGTCTAGGTCACTTAGCAAGACCCTGACTCAAAATAAAATATATAAGGAGGCTGGAGATGTATCTCCTGGGTAGAGCACCCTGGGGTTCAATCTCTAGTACTGTATGTGTGTGTATGTGTGTGTGTGTGTGTGTGTGTGTGTGTATAATTTTTTTTTTTTTTTCAATTTGGTCTTGGGTGGGGCAGGAGATTCTGCATTTCTAGCAAAGACTTAGAGACGTAGAGACTGGTATCTTTCAGAATCTTGTTTTGGAGAAATCCTGGTGTGCTGTGGGGTGTGTGGGTTGGTGTGGTGCTGGGGGTGGGACCCAGGGCCTCCTTCGTGCTGGGCAATGCTCTGCCACTGACAGTGGTCGCTGTGAAGACTGTGCAGGTGTCAATCCGTTACGTTCCCAAGCGAGTTCCCAAGGCCAAACCATGTTTTCCCGTAGGTCTGTGAAATCCCCCTGCCCACAGCAGCTACGAGATGATCTTCTGCAGGGTGGTGACAGCTGGGCCCTGACCCACCTGCCCTGTGAGGCCCCTGCAGACCTGCCGGCATGAGGACGGCGTTGGGAGCCCCGCTTCCTCTCCAGCCTCAGGCCTGGGGGAAGTGGGATTTTCAGCAATGACTGCCGCATCATGGAAGTGGGCTTTCCAACTCCTCTTTGTAGAACTCTGAAAGATGTGGGTTCGTGCTGTGGTCTGAATGCTGTGTTCCCCCAAATTCATATGTTGACAATTTTTTTTGTGTGTGTGTTCAAATTTTAACCTTCAATGTGAAGGTGTTGGGAAGTAGGGACTCTGGGGCTGATGAGGAATAGAGGGGAGCCTTCCTGAATGGGATCACTGCCCTGACCAAAGGGACCCAGAGTTCCCTCCCTGCTGTGCCATGTGAGGACTGAGTGAAGAGATAGCCGTCCATGAACCAGGACGCAGGTCCTCACCGACACCTCCATATTGGACCTCCCACCTCCAGAACTGGAAAATCGAATGTTGTGTGATGCACAGGGTGCGAGGGTTTTTTTGTTATAGCAGTCTGAGCAGACTGAGACAATCCCAGAACACCACTGGTATCAAGAAAACCATAATTTTGAGTGGGGGAAAAAAAAAAAAAAGCAAATCAGACACAATAAGATTTCTTTCACAGAAATGGTAAAAACAGGCCAAACTGGGCTGGGGCTGTGGCTCAGTGGTGGAGCACTTGCCTTGCACGTGTGAGGCCCTGGGTTCAATCCTCAGTTCCACATAAAAATAAATAAATAAAATAAAGGTATTGTGTCCATGTATAACTAAAAATACTTTTTGAAAAACAGGTCAAACTAACGAATGCCTTAGTCCTGGCTAGAGATGGAGATAGTAAAGTACAAAGACAAGGCAGAGTGACCATTGCTTACTCCAGGAGGGGGTGTCCAGCGCACGTGGGACTTCTCTTCTCCCTCAGCCCCCAATTTTTTCTTCTTGTATTATTTTTTCTTTAGTCCTAGTAGTCTGTTTAGGTGGATTTGATACCCACCATCTATTTCTCTATGTGGTTTCTCCCTTCTAGGGGTCTGTATTTCCATTTGTCTCTTGGCTAGATTTCATCACCAACACTTTTTTTTTTTTTTAAAGGAAGGGCCCATGGTAACTAAAGGCTATGTGTAATTATTTCATGTTTTCAAGTGTCTACCCATTGAATTTGATGTCAGTTTGGCTGGGTATAATATTCTCAGATCTCACTTTTCCCCTCCCACATTTTTAGATGAACCCTTTGTCCTCTGGCATTGAATACTAGTCTGGGAGGAGTCTGAGATTATCTTGATTTTATTTTTCTCCTCCCTTAAAAGTGATCTGCTTTTAGTTTTTCCTTTTACTAATATGTCTGAACAATTTTTTTTGTTTTTCTTTAAATCTTTGAAGCTCAGAATCTTAAACAAGTTACATCCCTATCAATGATACTAAAACAGTTTTTCCTAGAATGTACTCTACCCGTTAAAATTCACATTGAACTTTTATTCAAATTAAAGAGTTTTTTCCTATATTATATCCATAATTTTATGTTGTTTCTATTGATATGTGTATGTGAAGAACACAAATTAACTCAGACTCTGACTTTTATGTGTCCATCACATCCTTTCTAATTATTTGAATCTCTATATCTTCTACATTTCCTCCATGAGTTAATTTGCTTTTTTAGCCATGATTAGTTTATTTTTTTTCCCAATTTACTTATTAGATCTGTAATCATAGCATTGTGGTTTTTAATTTGTTTCC